CCCCCCTGTCTGTCACTCCTCTCACACTCTGTCACAGCTTTCGTCGGCTTCGACGCCATCGCGACGACCGGAGAGGAGGCGAAGAACCCGAAGAAAGCGATTCCTTTGGCGATCGTCATCTCTCTGTCGCTCATATTCGCGGCCTATTTCTCCATTTCCGCCGTTCAGACACTTATGCTTCCCTATTATCTGCAGAACGACAAGACGACGAAAGGCGCGCCTCTGCCCTTCATATTCGAGGTTTGACTTCCGTTTCCTTCACTCACTCACAGACTTCCCTTTCCGACAGAGCGTGGGCTGGACGTGGGCCAAATGGATCGTCTCCATCGGCGCGCTCAACGGACTTTCCACCTCTTTGTTGGGCGCCATGTTTCCGTTGCCGCGCATTCTCTACGCCATGGCCTCCGACGGCATTATCTTCCGCTTCCTCGCAACGGTATGATTGCAAAGAGTCTTCCAATTCGCCACACTTTCTGTCTTTCAGGTCCACAAACGCTCCCAAACGCCGCTCTACTCCACTCTCATCTCCGGCCTCTTCGCCGCCGCGATGGCCACTCTCTTCAACATCACGGAATTGGCGGACATGATGTCCATCGGTCAGTGCCTGTCCTCCCTTTCCACTCTCACGCATTCCCCCTTTCAGGCACTCTTCTCGCCTACACTCTCGTCGCCGAATCCATTCTTATCATTCGCTACTCGCATGACGTCGACGCCATTAACGAACGCAAACACGAAGAAGAGCCCGCCGGCCAGTCGGCGGCAGTCGAGCCGAAGTCCACCGTTTGGCGCCAACTGCGAAACGCGGACGCTCTCCAATCCCCGAACGCCTTCTCCTCTTCGGTCTCCAACGCTCTCATCGCAGCCATCAGTCGGTCTCCAAAACTCCAAAACCAAAGACAATAACTCTCTCTCGCCCTCAGCTCTCCTCCTCTGCGTTCTCGACGCGCAACTCGTGTTTCTCGAGACCCGACTCTTCGCCGCAGAAATCTGGCCTCTCGCGACCGTCGCTCTCAACGCTGTCCTCATCGGCGCCGTCGCGCTCGCGCTCTCCCGACAGCCAATGATCGCCGAATCGCGCTCTTTTGAGGTGAGTCTCGCTCTCGACGCTTCCCCACTCACGCCTCCCTCCCCTCAGGTGCCGTGGGTGCCTCTCGTGCCCTTTCTCTCCGTTTTCGTCAACATTTATCTGATGTTCAAACTCTCGCCGCAAACTTGGATTCGATTCGCCGTTTGGATGGCTTTGGGTTTGAATTTTTGAATTCCTATCGCATTGTCGGCGCGCTCTCATCCCTTCTCTCCACAGGTTTCCTCATTTACGGCTTTTACGGCATTCGCAACAGCAATGAACGCGCGAAACAATGCAAATAAACTTATTTCGCTCTCAAAAACTCGATTTCCTGTCGAACGAGAAATTGCTTTCATTTCCGCCGAAAATCTCGACTCAAACTCTCACCGAACGCAACAAAGCCTTGAGTCGCGCGAACGCCTCGTCCAACACGTCGTTCACAATCACGGCGTCGAAGAGCGCGCTTCCGTTCGCCACGAATTCCGAGTCTTCCGCCGCGCGCGACAACCGCTCCCTCAGCGCCGCTTCCGATTCCGTCTCCCGTCCCCTCAGATTGCGTTCGAGAACCGCGAGAGACGGCGCTCTCACCCACACGTAAAGCGCGTCGAGATTCGCTTTGCGAAGACTTTGCACTCCTTTGAGGTCGAGGTCTAAGACTGCGATTCGCGACGACTTCAGCACCGAATCCAATGCCTGTCGACTGAAGAGAGCGTTAAAAGCGGACAAAAGACCGAAAAGGGCGCAAACCTCGTGCCGTAGAAATTGCCCGAGAATTCGGTGAACTCTACGAACGCGTTCTCCGCGACCATCGCTTCGAAGGTCTGTCTGTCGACGAAGTGGTAGTCCTTTGCGTCCACTTCTCCGGCGCGCGGCCGACGCGTTGTGTGCGAGACGCAGAACCCGAAGCAGTCGTCGAACTCTGCCATCAATTTGCGCAGAAGAGTGCTTTTGCCGCTTCCCGACGGCCCGCATATCACCAGCGGACGCAAGCGCTGCGGCGAACTCATGAGCGATCGGTGGGAAGACAGTCGACAACGGATCCCAAGACACGTCAATGCGGTTGTCCTCCAAAGCATCGGATTCTCTCTCTCTCTGTTGTGGCGACGGTTACGCTCTCTCTCTCTCTCAGAGATGGCAGCACTGGTCGGGGATGTTGTTTGTCGTCAACTGTCTCTCCATTTGTTGTCGTCTTCCTCTCTGTCTGTCATCTCTCGAAGCTATCACTCGTTGGCCACGACTGCGAACCGATGTCTCTTAGAGTGCAGTCATCGGTGTTTCTGAGGCCACGACTCATGTCTTTATAAACAAAATTCATGTCTTTCTCACGAAATCTCTTCAATTGACTCGCTTTTGATCGGCTTTTGGCGCCACTCATGGGTTGCGTGTATTCACAGCCGCGACGCTCGCGCTCTTCGGCCAACAGTTCCAATGCCGACAATCCGCGCGTCTTTCACGTGAGTCTTCGCTTCCGCCGCTCTCTCTCTCTCTCTCTGACCTCTGGCCACTGGCCTCACAACAGGTTTGTAATGTCGACGATCGCGGAACTGAAGTGAACTTCGGGAAGATTGAGATCACGGACAACGAGTTGGCGCTCCACCAGAAGGGCAGGAACTCCATCTACTGGTCGCTCAGGTATGCCTTCCCTCCCATTCCCCTCCAGTCTCACGCCTTTCTTCGCGCAGATCTCTTCGGCGCTACGGTTTCGACGCCGAACTCTTCAGTTTCGAGTGCGGCCGCAGATGTCCGACGGGTCCCGGTATGAGCTCTCTCGCCGTCCACCCGAACCCCCACTAACCCCTCTCCGCCCCCCACAGGCATCTACGCCTTCAAGTGCGCGAACGCCGAGCAACTCTTCAACGCCCTCCAGGAGGCCATTCAACAGTGCACTTCAACCTCGCAATACCCGCTCTTCGGCGCCGCCGCAGACCCGACGACGCCGCCCGAAGTGGGGCCGCGCTATCCCGTGCGCGCGTCCGCCGCCGCCACCGGGACCGCCGCGCCTGCGCACCACTTCTCTTCGGACGCGAACCACGAGTACATAAACTCTCCGTTTTATGTGAACACTTCGGTCGCCGCGCAGTCGCACAACGCTTCGTCGCAACCGCTGCCGACCGCGCGCTCTGACGTCAACACGAATTACGCGAAACTCGACGATTTGGTTCGCTTTTACGTCAACATCAAGACTCCAGTCGTCAACCAATCGCTGCCTCCAAACGGTTCGTCCTTCAGTTCAAACGTAAACCCCCGCTAATCACAGCCCTCTCCCCTCAGGTGCGCTTCAAAGTACGGACAGTGCGTGTTCGCCGCCCCACTCGCCCGCCACGCCGTCGGGCGTCGAACCCGTGAACTACATTCTGCTGGATCTCGACCAGAGTCAGAGCACCGGTCAGCCGACTGTCGTGACGACGGCGCCGCCCACTCCCGTCTCCAAGACGCCCACAATGGAGTGGACTGCCCTGACTGCGGCCGCGACTCCGCCCACAACGCCGACGGGGCCGTCGCCGCCCATGCCGTACGCGCAGATCGACTTCGCGAAGACGGTGGCGCTCAGGACTGTCGGACAGTCCACCAGAGACTTCGCCAAAGCGCCCGCTTCTGGCGAGAAGTGAGAGCAGTGGCGGCGCCCAAACGGACGCCAACTGTAAATACGTGTCGAGTGTTTCGTACGTCTGATTCGGTAGTCTTCGGCGGCCTTTGCTTCCACTCATTGGCCGTCGAATCGTAGACTTTGTATCGAAAAGTCTTTTCTATATTTTCTCTATAATTCACTTCAATTAGAGTTTTAGTGAGTTTTCAATTAGAGTTTTGTGTAAATAATAAAAGACTATATATTTTAGACGCAAACCAATAGTCATTAGATTTTTGGATCAATTCTAGACTTAAAGTGCTGTAAATTGACAACAATTTTGTAAAAAGCGTTTTACAAAAGTATTAAACAAACGATGCTTTGATTGTAAGGCTTTTCTCGCCTCAAATAGTGTGTAAAATACGAGTCAATAGTTATCAACAGTTTTTGATTTGTGACGAAAAATAGTTTCAAAACTAAAGAGTTGTATATTTTTTACATTAAAACCGATTCGTTGTCCAAAAGAGTGTAAAACTAAACGACAATTGCTTTGAAAACGGATTCGACTGTCGCCACAGTCTATGCGCATGTGTCGCACGATTGCACGGCTTATCAGTGCTGGCATTCTCTCTGTAGACGCGCAGCACTGAAAGGCAACGCGTTTTGCGAACAAAACTCTGTCAACGACTGGACCCTCAGATGGTTGCGATTCTGTGGACGCGATCACTGATTGAGTGAATCGTCAATTGGTTTGCAATGAGTTTGTCGTCTCTCAGACTCTGACGCCTTCTTCACCATTATTCGCCTCAAAGAACAGATCGTCTTAAGAGCCAGTGATCAGAGACCGACTCTCGGAGCCACACCAAGTGATCACTCGACGCCATCCACGACCAGAATGCCCAACATTAAGGTCTTCAGCGGATCCTCTCATCCGGATTTGGCCAAAAAGACTGTCGAACGCCTCGGTATGCCGTCCTCTGCGCTTACTCCAAGTCTCACTCTTTGTCTCACTTTGTCTCCGAACAGGCATTGATTTGGGAAAAGCGGTGCTCAAGAAGTTCTCCAATCAGGAGACCTGGTATTCAATTCTTACCACTCTTTCACTCCTCCAAAGTC